TCCATTCGGCTGGCCGGCAACATGCCATCGCCGGTTCTCGCTCGCATGCGGGTAGGGTTCGGCAAATCGGTCCCTGCAGAGCACAGTTGGATCATCGCCATAGCCATTACTGTACAACCAAAGAAGGTACAACATGCATTTAGATGCACCACAGAGTTGGCTCGGGTGGCGTGCGGAGCTCAAAGCTGCTGTCCAAGCTCGGACCGATGGCAATATTCTTGGACGTTGCTGGATGCAGCTCGTGGACGACGAAGTCGGTGGCTTCGTTCGAGCGCGGCAGCTTCGCGACGTCGACGTTGGTGAGAAGACTCAGCCGCAAGCGCTCGTGGAGCTTGCCATTGAGGTAGCAGACCAAGAAGCAGTCGGTGCCGCGCAAGCTAATGGTCGGACACCGCTTGAGCTGCGGCGCGGTCTCCAGGAGGTGGTAGATGAACCCGCCGCGCGGTGGCAGCTGCGGGACACGGCGCAGCACTGATGCAAAGCGCAAAACGAAAGCGCTCTTCAAGTTGTTGAACGCACTTGCGCTGTAGTCGACGTCACGGCGCTGACGACAGTGCGTGCATCCTATGATATCTGTGGCATCAGGTGTCGACAGCGTCGGGACGATTGCCTGCTACGACGCCATAGATCAGAGGCGCACTGAGCGTCAGCAGCGTAATGAAGATGCACATCAAGGCGGCTTCTTGTCGTTGACGCTCGTGTGGTGTGAGGCAGTAGAAGAGCCACTGGGAAACCCGCACAAAGATCAAGACATGCCCGTTCATATAGGCCATGATGGGGCCATAGAGGGCCACCGCAATCGCAATCAGAGCCGGGTCGACTTCGGAAAAGCGGTGCTCTTTTCGAAGAGCTTTGAGCCCGAGCGAGACGAGGCAGAGGCCCCAGTACGCAAACCAGACCTATGCGACAAAGAAGTGCAGCCACGAGCCAGAACTCGACGTACCGAGCGCGCCAGATACATCATACCAAGCAGCAGAGACATGGGGTTGGTGCTATCCTGGACTTGCATTTCTGCAGCCCCAAAACTCATGACGCTCAACCAGATGTCGAGGTAGTAGTGTGGCGACCACCGGATCCAGCAGCACAATGGCGGTTGGGTCACCATACACGAGCTCATACGTCCAGGTGCCCGATGGCATGACCACGCGGTGGCCACATCGGCGTACGAGAGATTCGAGCTGCGCGCAATGGCGATAGTAGCGAGACCAGAGCCGCGACCAGACAAAGAGCGTCGTCCCAATGCGATAGATAAACATGTACCAGACGATCTCGGGATCACGAATCGCTTCGCTTACAAAGTACAGCGTGGTCAAGGTCGCATCCTTCTCCATGTTCGCATATGGAGAAGAGATGGCATCACCAGGCACGAGCCAGAGACACGAACGGCCAAACATAAAGGAGCACAGGTGCGAAGCATAGCACGAACCTCGGGCGTCGCTCGTTGCATTGCTTGTGAAGGTGCTGCACAGCAACTCGACTTGCGGCTCGGAATAGTACATGAGTCCTGGTAGTCCGAGAAGTAACTTGGAGAGACAAGCGTTCGTGTCCATTGGCGGCTGGTGCAAACGCAGGAGTGTGCGGGTCACTTGGGTGTTCTTGGCCGCATCCGCGACGTAGATCACTCCCGTCGGCAGTGTTGCGTTGGAGTAGCGTCGCTGGTTTGTGGCCAAGTAGACAGTGTTGAACTCGGTGTAGTTGGCATACGTCTCTGGCGTACTGAAGAAGCCCCGCCACGGCAGGTACTCGGAGAGGTACGCGGCCAGTGGCTACAAGTTGCATCAGGACACGCAATACCGGTCGCAAACCAACCATCGACGAGGCGTTGAAGAGCGATAAGATGCTGATGGCTAACGCAAAGCGGTGGCGACGCAGACGGTAGTCGCGCCGTTGTGTCTGTGCGTCGGCGATCTTGGCGCGTCGCATGGCGCTGCCACGTTGTTTCTCGTGAAGGAATGGCTCGCACTCGGTCGACTATTTTTGACCGGAACCCTAAACTCGATGGCTACGTCCAAAGATAGTAGTTGGATACTACGATCGATGCCTTGTGGATTGTTGTCAGCACTTGCGTCGTGCACATAAGGGTCTGTGCCATGCAACAAAAATGACTCTGGAACAATGAGATTGTGGAAGAATTTGTCCACTGAGACGTGTCTCTCCATCAAGGACGATTTGTCTAATAGCGATGCTACTCGGATCTCATCAGTATAAAAACATACAGTTGATCTCTTCCTTCGTCATGGCGTGCAAGCGACCTCTAGATAACCTCGTCGCCCATTCCTGGGTTTCGCGGTTAGGGCAGGGTTGGGTCTAGCGGGCCAAGCAGAGATAGTCGTCTCCGTGGGTGCCCCACCACCCTCGCACCGCCCGATTTGTCAAAAGCATTCGTATACTACACGTACTTCAAACGTTGCTATCTCCACAACCACCGACGTGTCGAGCTGCTCGACAATACGACACACGACACTACGCGTTGGACGTCGCCAAGGCCATGGGTGCGACCACTTGCACGTCGATGCGCACCGACCCCACGGCGATCGTCCACGTGCCAGGTACGATCTCGGTGCTGCCGTCCATGGTAGCCAGAGCAAACGTCGACGGCGGGAGGTCGAGGTGCCAGATAAACTCGTCGCCCGGCACCAGCGACGCAACCTTGTCGAACGCAACGAGCGACTGCTTTGGCTTGTTGTCGATACCCGCGCCTGGCGGCAGCGCAAAGCACAAGAGATTCTCGTCGCCAATGAGCTCGCCGACGTTTGTGATGTGAATTGCAGCGCGCCAGGGGTCGCCGGCCACGACCACATCGCTGGCGATGCCGACATCGTACCGAAACGTCGTGTACGACAGGCCATGACCAAAAGCGTAGATGACGTCGCCGTTGTAGAAGCGGTGCGTGCGCCCGGGTGTCGTGGCCGTCGGACGCATGTTCATGTCGCTGATCGCAATTTCATCGACAAACGACGCGGGGTACAGCGTCTGGGGCAGGCGCCCCGAAGGGTTGACGGCACCAAACAGCACATCGGCGATTGCGGATCCGCCGGCTTGCCCAAGGTACCCAGCGTACACGATCGCGCCGACGTTGCGATGCTGCTTGATTTCCGAGAGATCGACGGCCCCGCCCGTGAGCAGCACAACGACGATGGGCGACGCTGCGATAGCGACCACCGCGCGGAAGAGCGCGAGCTGGACGTCGGGCAGCCGGAGGTGCGTGCGATCCATGCCCTCGGCTTCGAGCGACTGGTTCAGACCCAGAAAGAGCACAATCTGGCGCGTCGCCTTTGCATGGGCCAGCGCCATCGCGTCGGCATCGATGCCGCCGCCATCAACCGCGCACGCCGCATGCGCATCCACGTACATTGGCGACACGAACGCTTCGACACCGGCGAGCGGGCTCGCGATCGAGCTCGGTATGCCTGCGTAGCTGCCAAGTAGTGCGTCAGTTGCGTTTACATGCGGGCCCAGTAGCACGAGCCGGTGGCCGGGCGTATACGTGTCAACATCCAGCGGCAGCAGCTTGGTGTTGTGCAGCAAGATAACGCTTTGCGCGGCGGCTTCGTACGCAAGCTGTCGATGCGCCGGCGTGTCAATGTCGTCGATCGTTATGTCAGTGTACGGCCGCGTGCGCGACGGCTCATACATGCCGAGTCGAAACTGCACCCGCAAGAGCTGCTTGAGTGCGCGCGTGGCGGTCTCGGGGCGCACGAGACCTTGGTTCAACGCCGATGGCAGGTGCGTCTGTAGAAAGTCACCGCAGTTGAGGTCCATGCCTGCGCGCAGCGTCGCGTCGCACGTCGCCGCGGTCGAGTTGGTAAACTTGTGGTGCGCGTAAATGTCTTCGACAGCGCCGCAGTCGGACACGACGTACCCGTCAAACCCCCACGTCTCGCGCAAGAGATGCGTGAGGAGGCCCTTGTCGGCGCACGACGGCACGCCGTTGACGGCGTTGTAGCTGCACATGACAGAGCTCGCGCCGCCGTCGCGGACGCACGCTTCAAACGCGGGAAAGTACGTGTCGGCCGCGTCCTGGGCCGAGACATTGGCGCTGAGCGAGTGCCGGTCGACCTCTTGGCTGTAGGCGCTAAAGTGCTTGCAACACGCCGAGACCTTGAGGAAGCGCTCGGTGCCTTGCATGCCCCGGACAAACGCGGTCGCGTACGCAGCCGACACGAACGGGTCTTCGCCGGGCGTCTCTTGCCCGCGGCCCCAGCGCGGATCGCGGTAGATGTTCATGTTGGGCGCCCAGTACGTCAAGCCGCCATGGTCGACGCTGTGAAAAGCTCTACGAACAACATCAAGAGCTTCAGACGTGACGGAATACGTGGATGGAATCGGTGACCTGGCCTCGGTTGCAATGACATTGCCCATCGCATGCCATAGCGTGCGGTTGAAGGACGCAGCGACGCTGATGATCATCGGGAAGCTCGTGGCCGACGTCGTGGGTGCGGCAAATCGCACGGCCGGCGAGAGCGCCACCCCGTGCAAGCCTTCGCTCCACCAGCAATACGATGGCAGACCTACCGTCTCGTCAGGGAATGCATCGCTAGTATCGCTCCAGACCAGCGCTGGGCGACCCCGTCGAGTTGTCGCCCAAGAGCCCGGGTATCTCGAGCAGCGGGATGCGCGCCACGAGGTCGTCAACCCGCGCATCGAGGGGCAGCGTTGGGTCGCAGAACGGGTAGCTGCGCTGCGGCTCGTTGTCGCAGACCTACGCTTGCATCGCTCGCCTACCCTAGCTCGTCGCCAAGACATACGTGGTTGCTGGCGCTATGGCCTAGATGCACTGCGAGAAGGAGCGCGCCGATCGAGGCCCATGGCGTGCGTCGACCCATCGTCGCAGTCAGTCAAACAAGATCTCACATCGTAAAAACGCACCTGGTTTCCATAGAAGCGCACCCCATGTGATTGTTTCGGTGCGGTTTTACCGGATCCGCCGGAACATTCCACAGAATTCTAGCCAGGCGCACGCGATCATATATTCGCCCGAACCGCGTCCGTCGACGAAGCTCCTCGAAGACGCGCTGCCGATCGCTCTTGACTTCGGATTCACTCGTTGAACACAGCGCGGATTCGCTATAGGCAGCACGCCCGACGGGCCGCAACTTCAAGAAGGAAGAGTGGCGCTTGCCAGAAGCGGAATGTAGGTCCCGTCACTCCTTTCTCATGTGACCCTGCGGCCCTTGCCAGCCCTTCCTACTTGCTGCTCATCCTACACGTCATATCGAATTGAGCCGAGTGGGTCGATGCAGGGCGTGGGCAAGTGCCACCGACCTTGTCATCTCGCGTCATAACGTTGATGGCGCGGACGCTGTTCGTCTCGACCGTCCGTTTCCACCTGACCCGATGTGACGTCCATGACCAGATGGTGCCAGTACCTTCGCACTCAGATGCGGTCGTTGCTGGTGGACCATCGCTAATAGCTGTGTCGTGCACTTGCCGCTGCATCTCGCCGGGTTCTTCTCTGCCCGACAGGCGTAAGATAATGCTGGCTGCAATTTGGCCTGCGCACGCGATCGGAGTCGCAAGCACTGGGACGAGGGAGGACAGTATATTACAGGGTCAAGGACGACTAAAACTCTGGCAAGGACGAGGACGACATGATGTTGAGGGTGGGGAAGTAGCCTTGTTCGCGGCCACAGGCCGCCAGCGCCCGTTCCTGGTCTTCGCCGGCGGCAAGCGCGAGCGCAAAGATGTAGTCCGAGTCGAGCGTCGGTGTCGTCGGCGGCAGCGAGAACGACGACGACCGGCTGTGGTCGTCGCCTTGCGGCTCTTCGTCGAGGCGCGTCTCGAGGGTCGCGATGCGCCACGCGTTGTAGTTGGCGGCGGACGCAATGAGCTTGTCGTGCGAGATATGGCTCATGTCTTGTTTGTCGAGGAATTCATAAATACGGGAGATGAGGTCCTTGGCATACGAAGCAATGTCGCGAATGTCGTTGGACGTGAGGTGCCAGAGCTCTTCGCCTTCGGCGCAGTAGATGCGCGACCGGCAGATGGGGCACGTCTGGTTTTGCGTGCTCCTAGCCATGGCGTCAATAACGTGACGAGAACGACGATGCAACCGCACCAGGTCTGAAAACACCGCAAACAAAAACTGTGACTGCACGGCAAGACGACCTCCTTCTGCTTGTCCATGCAGATCTGGCACTCGAAATCGTCAAAGTCCTTGGCCTCCTTCTCGCTACAGTCGCATGAGCTTCCTTTGCGCAGCGCAAGACCATGCGTACGTGTCGCTCGGGATCGTCAGCGTATGTACAGCGCAGTCGTTGACGTCCGACAAGAAGCAGAGCACATAGTAAAACTGCTGGATCGTCAAGAGCTTGGGCGACCCAATCGTATGCTGCACAGTGAATGCATAAGCCCTCGCCGCATCTGCTAGCGGCGGCGCGTACCTCTATGGACTCGAGGGCCTCCCATGTGTTGATATCGCGGGGCGGATCATGCTCTGGCAGGCGGCGAATCTTGCGCGCTTCAACCATGACCTGCCGCGCATACCGTCAGGCAATGCTCGCACCAGGCGCATCGTACGTACGTTGCCTTTGACCTTCCAGACGTAGGGCATGACGTCGGGCGCAATGCGTTCGTTGAGCACGAGGCGAAAGCGCAGCTGGCACGTCTTGGGCGTTGGGCAGAGCGTGGCCCTACCACGTCGTTAGCCTCTTCCAGGATGGCAGAGACAACGCTGGCTACCATCGATTGGCATCTTCAATGTGCGTGCCAAGGTCCATGTAGGTGCGCATCATGCTCGCCACGCGGTCGGCCATGCGCGCTTCCTCGGTCGACGGCCGCTGGCCCATCTTCGTTCCTTCTTCCGGCGGATCTGTTACTCCGGTTCGGAACTGAGCCTTCTTTTTCTCGCTCGTTTGGATCTTCAACGTTTTTTTGCAAATATTTTTTTTCGCGTTTCGTTTAAGCTTGCGTTTTGTATACTGCTTGCCGTGCACCACAAGCGTTTTCAGCACGCGCCCAAACGACTTGCTTTTTGTATGCAGAAGATCGGGGCCTTGGTGTGCGTGCATATAATTTAATTATTTTACTTGGCAGTGGGTCAACCTTGAAGCCACATGGAGACAACACGACAACAGCGCAGAGCACTTGTGTCTCTGCCCGCTTGTTTCCAGGCTTTTCCAGGCGACGAGATGCATTTATTTGAATATTTTTCAAAAAGACATTCACTCTGGTCGGTTTGCGCAACGCGAATTCGGCCCTGAGCCTGCCACGTCATCGCGGAACTGTGACGCGAGGCCCCGGGGCACAACGACCCGCCGACGAGCGTGCCACGTCACGAGGTGCGACCGAGTGATACTCGCGTGCTGTATTGTTGAAGCCGGCACAGGTCCAGAGAAAGGCCATGCATACGAGGGCGTTGGGCGATGGAAGAAGGGATGCCCTTGGCGATCCCAAGGGCGTAAGCACGCGAAGCCTGGGCCGAAACGACGGCTATAAATACGGCGTGATGGACGACGACGCCGACGGGCGGCGACGAGATGACAGCGCGGCCAAGCTCAGTGAAATCACGCCCGTCGAGTACACGCGGCCACAGGTCCTTCCGGATGCGACCACGTACGAGGCCAGCAACGAGGCCAGCAACGAGCGAAGCACACAGGCCAAAGAGCCTTATGTGTTTGAAGGTGAGAGCTTCTGGGACGCGGCCGAGGACGAGCACACGCCGTCCAACGACCTCGACTACTGGGGCATGGCCTTCGACGAAAGCGCGCAGCAGACCTACTACTTTGCGTTTGCATCTGGCATGACGCAGTGGACGCCACCATCGCACCTCGGTACAACCTTGCACGATATGCTTGGATCTGAGATGCGTAGTGTACCCCGAGAGCCACCAAGTGCTGCTTTGGGACAACGACGCGCAGTGGTTTTACATATACGACTACGTCCATGGCTCGAGTCGGTGGCTCGATCACTTTGAGGACCTCCAGGAGCGCGGGTCGCCTCAGCCCGTGAGCGACGACTGCATGAGCCAAGGTTGAATTCGCGTTGGTGCGCGCTCATGCTATGATACGCTGTGTAGCAACCACCGAAGAGCTCGAGCCCGAGTCCTCGGACGACCGCCGGCAACAGGTATTCAACAGGAACGTTTGTGGTCGACGACCTTGACACGTGGTTAGAGCCTCGCATCCTCGTGGGACGAGACGACTGCATCGGTTGTTGATATTGAGATTGAGATTGAGATGGGCGACCACAAGATATCAACAAGCAACTGCTGTCGGGGGGTCGAGCACGGATGCATCTGCCCCGAATGTTTTTTGCCGCTTCTCGATGGCCTTCAAGAGCAGCGGACAAGTCAAAGCTACTAAATATACTACGCAATGTGTTACGGAAACACGAGGACGTTGACCGTAATGTCGTCGACAACGTCTTCTTCGTCGAGCCAGCGCTCCAGCGCTTCAGCGACAAGCATATCACACATTGTCTGCGGGTCGTACCCGTCCTGGAGGCACTTTGTACAGAGCGCGACGACTTGCTCAGACGGTAAAAACTCCCAGAGACCGTCCGAGGCCACGACCACAAAGGCCCGGGCCCGCGTCGCGCAAGCCGGCACATCTAGTTCCGAGCAGTCGGGGTCCGAGATGACGCCGACCGACGTGGCGACCGAGTCGCCAAACGACCGCGACATAGCCAGCCCCGGCATGTCGACGTCCTTGAGCCAGACGCGCGGGACGCCCCACTCAAACACACGGCCATTCGTGGCCAAGATACGGCTAAGCTCGGCGGGGACATCTAGTCATCATGGTTTAGGTTAACTCTCTGCAAATGTGGCAAGCGAGAGGACGTTGTACCTGGCTTGTGGTCGACCGATAGCGTGTGGGTCGTATACTCGTGTGACGCTTCGTCAAGCACACCGGCGACGGCGCGGCTGTCGCCCACGTTGGCAATAAATACATGCGGCGCCAGGTGTGGCATCTCGGGCGTCGGCGTCACGAGCAGGAGCGCGACCGCGGTCGACCCGCTCACGCTAATGTCGAGGCCGCTCTCTTCCTCGAGCTGCGTCGTCATGCGGCATGACGCTTCGAGGAATACATCTTCGATGACATCGAGCGTCAAAGGCGTCTCCTGCGTCAGCGCTGGCACGTAGCGCTGCCACGCGTCGGCCACGTGCTGCGGGTAGTGATCGCGGACAAAGTGGCTGACGTACGCGCCTTGCGAGCCATGGCCGTCCATGACACACACAAACGTGAGCGCGTCGCACTAGACCATACGATATCAGATCTGAGTCGCAACTAGAAGGGGAAAATAGGGTCGTACGTCGGCAAACCTGTCGCGGATCACAAACGAGTCTTGGTTCTCCTTGCGGCGGCCCATGGAATCGTTGCCGGCGCGCGTCCGGGAGCCCCACCAGAGCCCTTTCGAGACCGACTACATCATTCCAGATCTGAGTTGTGGGAGGTGGTACTAGCGCCGTTGTCCGTACGTAGAGACCCCCGGGGGTCTGCCCCGTGTACTTGGGCAGCTCGATAGTAAACTCATCGACAGCGACGCCAGGAATCCCGCCGCCGACATAGACGTTGGGCGCCGTGCAAATGTCGAGCGTCTCGGGGTCGATCGCGCTGGCATGTTCATCGTCGTCGTCGTCGTCGTTGTCGTTGGCGTCGCTCTCTTCGACCTCGACGCGGCGCAGCGTGACCTCGAGCGTCGTGAGCCGATCGGGCTTGATGAGCACGCCCGACTTGAAGCTGTTGCTGCGGAAGAACGTCTTGCGGCGCATCGGCGCCTGCTTCTCGTGCGCCATACCGTCGTCGTCTACGCAAGAGTTGGGGGTCGCATGTAGCCCGTCGCCGCCGGCGCGTACCGTCCGTCGGGAACGGCTGCGAGCAGCACATGCTGTAGGAGAAGGCGCAGCCCATGCTATGTCAACCTCGCGCGAGCCTACATGCACAGGTCGTCGTCAGGCGGAAGCAGCAGCATCTTGCGGACCGTGGCGACTCCGAACAACAACCAACTGCACTTTGCGGGTGCCAAACTCATGCACCCAAATACAATGCGCATCTTTTATGCCAGATACAAACATCAAGACTAGGATGCAGATTGTAATTAAATCGGCCCACCACCTGGTGGGCCCCTCGAAACGCGATCCGGCCAACGACATCGTCGCCATCTCCGATTTCATCGCCAAATCTTATAGCTGCAAAATACGAGCTTGGCGCTGCCGACCGAGTAGCAACCTCGCGGCCGATAGCAGCCGTCGTGTACTCAGTCGACTGCATACGCTAAGCTCCAACTGGCCTCAACACGAACGACGCAACCGGATACTCGAATTATCCGGATGCTGGCAACAGTATCTTGGCGTGATTCTTGACAGCGTTCTTGACACGGAATCTTGCGCGCGTCCCGCACCAGCGTGCTAAATACCCTCGGCACCAGCTTGCTAAATACTAGACTGATCAATAAACAGTTGATTACCCTTGCTAAACACAAAGCATCAAAGGAATAGGAAAAGGTCGGCGTTGGTAAAGCTCGGTAAAGGCAGACCAAGGCAAAGCGGGCGAGATGCGCACGAGCATGTGGAAATTACGAGGTGTGCTTATGGACGCATGCGGCTTGAATCAGTTTTTTGGGTGGGCTTGAGGCGCCAGCGTGCTTCTTGCCGATCTCATTTTCATCCAGAGGACAAGAGTGTACGAGCCGGATCCGCGGCGTTAGCATCCAGCGTGAGTGATTGCCGTGCCGAGCCGAAAGCTTGGGCTGACGAGAGCTTCTCGGCTCAATCCCGCGCCAACGGACGTCCATACTAAGGACAAAGGGTTTAGCAAAGGTGCGCTTCATGGCTGCTATGTGTGTAGTGTAGGGCAATAGAAGGTGTAGCCGCTTGCCATCATTTGATCTTTGGATCTTTGGTCCGTCTTGATACTTTGTAAAGTATCGAGCCACGGGAAAATGCGTGGAACAAAGCCCGCAGTCCTCTGCAACGATGCCCCACAGCAAGCGCATCGCGACAGCCTCGTCGGTGGTTTTTCACGTCAATGACATGCTCACCGTCATTGTCCAGTTCACTGCTGCACCGTGCGACGTTGTCGCCTTCCTTGACGCCATCCCCGCGTCGGCGCGCAGCAAACCACTAAGGCACCGCACGAGCTCTTGCACGGCGCAGACCACATGCAGCTTACGTCGGCAGTCGACGTCATGTGGCCTCAGCTCTTGCTGGCCGCGATTTCGCCCAATCTCGCCAGTCTCGCGCACGTTGCCATGCCTGTCTTCACCGCAGTCGCCGCCGACAACGTCCTCGCCGCGCGGCTGGCTGGGCTCAGCCTACTCGACTGGCTCCAGCTCTGGAGCAGCCAAATCACTTTGTACTCCCACGTGGACGACGACGCCGACGTGTCGCGCCTCTGCAACATCTTGCGCCAATGCACCAAGCTTCAGGTCGTCGAGATGTTCGACGTCAGCGATGCCGCTTGCATCCTCGACGCGATCACGACGCCGGCCCACCGCGTCTCGTCTCTTCAGGTCGATGGCAAAGGGAACGTGGCCGAGTTGATGGCGAATGTGGCTCGTTGGCTCACGACTGGCCATGCGACGCACTTGGATTTGACGTACTACGTCTCGTCAGACGGCGAAGTCAACCACCCAGCGCTGGCCACCATGCTCACAATGACAACGGAGCTCGAACACCTTGCGCTCTCGTTGGACGCACCCGGGCTGCTTGCGCCGCTTGTCCCCGTCGCACCCTTGTTCACGCGCAAGTGTCCTTCGCGAGCTTTCGTGGCACTCTTGCCAGCCGATCACGTCGCTAATCGAGACCATGGCAGTGCGACGCATCATGTTCCACGACGACGTCGACCTTGATCGTCTCGTGCTTTGTAGCCCAACGTAGACTCGCTACGGGCGATATTGTAGCAACCAAACACACTTTTTTTGGCTGGATTTGGGTGACGCCATTCCAAGGGCACCTGGTGCCTTAGGCGGAGCGGCTTCGCGAGCTTTCGTGGCACTCTTGCCAGCCGATCACGTCGCTAATCGAGACCATGGCAGTGCGACGCATCATGTTCCACGACGACGTCGACCTTGATCGTCTCGTGCTTTGTAGCCCAACGTAGACTCGCTATGGGCGATATTGTAGCAACCAAACAAACCTTTTGTGATACCACGTGCTAACATTAACGTCCAACAAGAGCGTTTGCATACAGTTCATGTTGACCTTAGTGTCAGGCGCTCACTGTGGGGCTGCTTCCGAGGCGCGAAAACGTACCGACTTAGTACTGGACGACATCGATCCACTGGTTGGTGTTGGCATTGTGGCACTCCCACACCTGCGCCGCATGACTCGGGTTGGTCGGGTCGACGTCCAAGCACAAGTTGTTGTGCGTCGCGTGCTTGATCTTGTGGTTGCCGGCATCGATGATCCACTTCTGGTTGCCGTTGGTAGCGTCGCAGGCGTACGTGTGAAGGCCAAACTTGTCGCCGTCACGGAAGGCGTCGAGGCACTCGCCGTTGGTAGCCACCTGGAGCGTCTTGGCGTTGTTGTCGTACGTGAAGAGCTCGTTGGCCGAGTCCGAGACCCAGTTGGCGTAGACGCCCGAGTAAAACTCGGAGAAAACCTTCTGGTCCTTGGTGACGAGCTTGACGTAGCTCTTGGCAGCCGGCGCGTCTTGGCACTTGGTGAACCACTGGCTGACACCACCCGTGCAGTCGGCGACGAACGGCGCAGCGCCGGGTGTGAGGTGGGCCGACTCGAGGCAGAGGTTGCGCACCGTCAAGTGGCGGAGGCTGTGTGAGTTGGGCTCAAAGTCCCACTTTTGCGTCGAGCTGCCCGTGCACGTGTAGAGGCGCACCTGGTTTTTGCCCTGAACGTCCTGGAAGACATCGAGGCACGTCGTATTCTTGGTCTGCGACTGGATCGACTTGTCGTCAAAGTTGTACCAGAACTTTTCGTTCAAGTTCTTCTTCTCCGTGTCAACAAAGAGCTGGCCGTTCCACTCAGAGAGGACGTTGTGCTTGTAGTTGCAGAGCGAGTTGGTGGCAGATGGCTTGAGAGGCGCTGGCGTCGGAGCCGGCGGTGGTACCGGGAGCTTGCCGTCCTTGACGATCTTGGCGACGTTGACACGACCGTAACCGTACCGGTTGTTGGGCCACACCTTGTCGTCGACACCGCCGCAGTTGGGCGCGCCCGGAAGCGTGCGGTTGCGCGTGAGGAGCCACTTCTCTGGTTCGGCCTGCAGAATCGACTGCTCCGTCGTCGTCGTGAGGTAGTGGTAAATCTCGTCGTACGTCAGATCTTTTTGCACCGACTTGAGGAGAGCGACGACGCCGGCGACGTGCGGCGCTGCCATCGACGTACCCGCCTTGTAGTCGTAGAACGTATCACTCGAGTTGATGGCCGAGTACGTAAAGAAGCCGGGCGCCGAGACATCGGGCTTGACGATCGTGTGCACCTGGTTCAAGCGGTCGACGAACTGCGCCGGGCCCTTGGACGAAAAGTACGCAAGCTGCGTCGGGTCGTCGTCGTACGACCCGATGGCACCGACCGAGATGACGTTGGGGTAGTTTGCCGGGTTGCCGGCCGTCGCGCAGGCGGGGCCGTCGTTGCCGTTAGCAAAGATGGGCGTGATACCGGCCTTGTGCCACGCGTCAACAATGTCTTGGTACCACGGGTCAGTGCTCGCGTCACTGCCCCACGAGTTGTTGACGACGTTGGCGCCCTTCTTGCAGTCGGGGCGCGACCCGTCCGTCTCGGTCGGGCACATCATAAACTCGGCGCACTCGATCAAGGCCGCGTTCGTGCCACCCCCCACATACAAGCCGCGGCAGGCAATGAACTGGGCGTTGGGAGCAACGCCGATACCATAGTCGCCGACCATGGTACCGATCGTGTGGGTACCGTGGCCGTTGAGATCTTCCGGCACCGCCGTCTGGAGGTACGGGTCGTACCAGCCCTTGGCCTCGCGATACTTGGACTTGATGGATTCATGGGTGTGGCGGACACCCGTGTCGATCGAGCCGATGATGATGCCTTCACCCTTGGTGGTCTTCCAGACGTCGGTGGCGCCAATCGTCGTGACGCCCCACTGGATGCCGGTCGGGCGCGAGTTGTCAACAGGCGAGTTCTCTGCACCGTCGTTCTTCTTGGTGAGGACCGGGCTGAGCTGGATCGTCTTGACCACGTCGACCTTGAGAACATTGTCGAGCTTGGCGATCTTGTCGGCGAGTGCGCGGTCAACCTTCTCGACCGTGGCCGCATTCGTGATCCAGAACGCCTTGACCTTGCGGTCACCGACGATCTCAGCCAGCGTCTGCTTGCGCCCGGAAGCCGCCGTGGACGCCTCGTCGAAAAGCACCTGGCGACGCTCGAGCCCCTTCACTGCGGCACTCTCCGTTTCGGCGGCGGGCGTCGACTTGAACGTGATAAAGGCCGTAAACGTCGCATCTTGCTCGATAGCACGCAGCGCCGAGCTCGTGATCTTGGCGTACACTGGTACGAGCACGGATGCGAGAGTAAAAATCTTCATGGTCAACTTGCGCTGAACGAAGTAAATTGTCCAATGCCAAAGATTTCGGGGCTAGATTTCGACCGGTCCTGGCTAGAATTCGTTCACCATTTGAGTTGTTGCAGATATTGAGGTTGAAAAGTGCACTGTCGATCTGAGTTTGCAAGGCGTGTGATCACATGGGTCGGAATCACATTCGCCAGTGTGAAAAGACTGTCCGCCTTTTTCCCGTACCGGTGCGAACATGGTTAGCATTGTGAGAGGGTTCTAGCGTGGAACCAGTTGGGAGGCTCGTCTACACATCGATTTGGCTGACTTGGATGACGGCGCCAAAGACACTTCATTTCTCAGATGAGGCGATACGCAACAAGATCTTACGACAACTACGGCGAAGTCCACTGCGGTACAGTCTAGCATAGCGCAGAGCGCAGCTAACTCGCGTCGGTAGCACCGAATGCCATCTATTGTCACAATCATCGCGACGACCAAGTACAGCTACCAAGTACATACCAAGTATTGTACTGTACGGCCCCGTTCAGCTTGAACGAGTAACCAAGGAGTTTTATTCGCTTGTAGTTATGCACGGTCATTTGCGTACCGGTAGGAGAGCGGATGTGTCGCGTCGTCAGGTGTGAATGGATCACCAAGTGCGTATCAGATGCATCCGACCGATCGGTGGCACTCGCTTGTAACCTCTACATTTGCGCCTCAGCCACCTTTCTGACGGGTACGAGATCAAGGATACACCAAATATATTTTTCCACATTTTTCATCATATGGCCCTCGGAAGTGATGCGTTGCTTCTGATTTTGGTGATTGGGCGTCAAGAACGCACCCGGAACGTACCTGAGAATGGGTACAAATGTCCCGCCATGGATCTGATTTACGCGCGCAAACAATTATCATCCCAGACAAGTGCACGGCAATATCGTGCACTTTCGTCCGACTCTGTGACGGCACCCCAATATATTTTCCATCCCGTCACTTGCCCCAACAAAACGCGCCACCGCTCGAGCCACTTGCTATATCTAATACCAGAACTTATAGCTCGAATCAAAGTGCCTTTCCGCCGCGTCGTTTGCGTCATGTCACCTGACAAACGTGTCCTTGGCACAGGCGTATGTTCTGATTTGATGGATCGCCTGTCTTTTCACATGTTTTTGGTCACGTGTCAACCCCACACGCGCTCTATTAGATCTAAATTGTAGGGTCGAGGCATCTGATATTCCTAAACTACAAACTGCGCACCTCATTTGCTCATTTTCACATTTGCCACCTTTCGCTCGAGAGCGTGTCAAATCTAATGAAGGCTATCCTCATCCTCTCGACAATGGCGGCGGCGGCGTCGGCCAAGGTCGCCAGCTCGGTGCTCCGTGCGCTTGAAGTCAACGGCAACGCCGACGTCTTTGTCCGGTTCGCGGATGCCTCGTCGGCGCTGGAAGCCGCGACACTCGAGTCCAACAAGCCGTTGGAGCGCCAAGAAGTCTTTGAAATTCTCTCGGACGCCACGGCGACGGGCCAAAAAAGCATCGAAGCGGCCACCGCCGGGTTTGAAGTGACGCCGACGTGGATTGTCTCGGGCGCGTTCATCAAGGCAGCTGACAAGGCGCTCATCGAGAAGCTGACGCAGAACCGAGCGATCAAGTCGGTCGAGCAAGTGCCCGATATGCAGCTCGAGCCGGTGCTCTCCAAGCCCACCACGGAGGCAGTCGCCGCGCCTGCTGCGTCGCCGAACCAATGGGGTGTCGACACGGTTGGTGCCCCGGACATCTGGAAGTACACCAACGGCTCCGGTATTGTCATTGGCTCCATCGACACGGGTGCCCGCCACACGCATTTGCTTTTGAAGGACTCGTGGCGTTCGGATCGTGGCTGGTACGACCCGTACAACCACACGGCACTTCCCGAAGATCTCGGTGGCCACGGCACCCACACGCTCGGCACCATGGTGGGCAACCGCGGGTACGGTGTCGCTCCTGGTGCGCAGTGGATCTCGTGCCGCGGTCTCTACGTCAAGAGCGGGTCGGCGCAGGCGCTTCTCGAGTGCCTGCAATTTATGATCTGCCCGACGCGCACGGACGGCACGCATCCCGACTGCTCCAAGGGCGCGGACGTCATCAACAACTCGTGGGGCAGCAAGACCTTCCACCCGGTGTACGAAGAAGCGATTGCGTCGATCCGCAAGGCCGGCATCACGCCCATCTTCTCCAACGGCAACGAAGGCCCGGCTTGTGGGACGACCGGTAGCCCCGGGACGTACCCGAATGTCATCTCGGTCGGCGCCATTGGCTCGTACACGAACGAACCCAACAAGCTCGCGTTCTTCTCGTCCAAAGGCCCTGGCAAGTACATTGATGCGCACAACGTGCCGCAGACGATCGTCAAGCCGACGATCTCGGCCCCCGGCTTCTTTACGCTCTCGGCCTACAACCACAGTGACACGGGGCTCGCGTACCTTGCCGGTACCTCGATGGCGGCGCCGCATGTCGCTGGTGTCGTGGCGCTCCTCAAGTCCGTCAAGCGCGACCTGACGTACGACGAGATTTATGCCTATTTGACGCAAACAGCCGACCGAACGCTCGAGAGCGAGCCCAACGAGTGGCTGGTACCCAACAAGACGTCCAACAGCACGGATGTTTACCCCGGTGCCTTCAACTGCGGTGGTGTAGATGATACCAAGTGGCCTAACAACCGGTACGGCTACGGTCGTGTGAACGTCGCCAAGATTCTCGCCGGTGGCAAGTTTGCGGCCGTCGTGACCCCGACGCCGGTGCCGCGGACGACGCCGCCGGCGCCGATTCAAACGAATTTTTGCACGTACAAGAAGAAGGCACTCTCCGAGCGGAACCACGGCTTGTACATTGACACAATCAAGAACAACAAGAACGAGGGCTTTACGATTGACCGCGTCAACAACATCATTGCGGCGTACGCGTCCGAGAATGAAGACTCGTTTTGCCTTGCGCTCACCAAGGATGCTACCAACACCAACGCGGCGACGCTCACCAAGTGCAAGGGCGACGAGACGCAGATCTGGAAGTTTGACACGGCCGCAAAGCGCATCGTCCACCCCCAATCCGGCTTTTGCCTGACCTCCAACGCCGCCAAGCTCGGTGCCGGTCCCAGCGTCGCTCCGTGCTCGCCCAGCGCCGTGAGTCAGTACTTTGACGCGTGCGACAACATCAAGGAGAAGAGCTACGTCAAGCTCATCACCAAGAACAACAAGGTCATCTCCGAGTTCTACTCGGGCGTCTACGCCGACTGGGTCTCGGACTCGGCCAACGAGCTCTTCACGTACGACAACAACGCCAAGACGCTCCAGGTTGCCAGCAACGGCGAGTGCCTCGACGCCTTCCGCGACGGCGACAAGTTTGGTCTCCACACGTACGCCTGTGACGCTACCAACGCCAACCAAAAGTGGATCATCGACGCCGGCAACCACAAGATCAAGCACGCGACGCACAACAACTTGTGCTTGGACGTCGACCCGACGAGCCCGAGTCATGCGGCGCAGGTGTGGGAGTGCCACAACGCCAACACCAACCAGTGGATCGACGCTGTCGCCTACTAAGTCGTTTGGCGATTTCAGCATAACTCTGTGTGAACAAATATGGAGCGTTTTCTCTCATTTGGATTGCGATTTGTGCCGGATATGGAAATAGCTGCACACGGCCAGACTTGGTGATTTGTATTTGACTATTTTCAAGGTAGGAGCCCTGATGGAGCCCCACCACATACAAGTACATGCAACGAACGCGAATGACAGACGCCGCCGACCCTTCCATCGCTCTCAACCTGCATGTTGAATCGTACCAATGACGTGGCACTCTGAACGTGCACATACTCGCACGATGATTGGTAGATCTATGTTTGCACTTCAGATGGTCATCAAAGGTCGTTTCGTCAGTGACCCCATTTCCCATTTGTCATTCTATATCGCAAGTGACGTGGGATGGCGGCGCAGCGACCACGCCTTGCGACAACATCGGTGCTCGACATCACATGTGTCCCTGTCCTCGTTGTCCAGTGCATCGCGTCGTCCGACGACGTGGCTTCGTTTCTTCAAGCGATGCCAGCCGCAGTCCTCACCCCCGAACTCGTCGCGCTGCGTGAGCTCATGACAGCACCCGACGCGCAGCCGCACTACTACTGGCCTACGATGCACCTAACCATGACAACTGACTTTGAAGTCGACCGTATCGTCACTGCCATGCCCATCGTTCCCCGCGCGTCGTTTCGCAAATTGAACGTGAGCCAGCGCTCGCCAGCGAGTAAACACCCCGATATCCGTTTACCGTTTTGCGCGTTTGTCGCCACATGGGCGCTCAAGTTTCGGGAAGTGACCATTTCAGCAACCGATCTCGAAGAGCACCGAGTCTAAATTTGTGATATGCTGCGTCACTGCACTCGCCTTGAGAGCGTGGATCTTACGTTGAACGAGGACGTCTTGGCGGCGATGACGACGCCCGCGCACAGTGTGTCCAGCATTACTATCGAGCTGCCGAATGACGCAGTGGCAGCGTACGAAAGATGTCCAGCGGCGCTGCTGTCGTGGCTCGCGTCAGGCTGCGCTAACACTTTGACCCTCGACGAGTTTGGCGCTGCAACGGACGCTGTATTGGCGCACGCAGTAGCGTCGGCGCCAACGCTGTCGAAGCTGGCTTTAATGGATTCGGAGGGTCTTCTCAACAGCCTCGTTGCCAACGGCGCCATGTTGACGCACATGACGGATCTCGCCATTCGATCGACCACGTCCGATGTGGTGGTTGCAGCGCTTGTCCCACTGCTCGCTCTATCAAGGATGCAAAAGCTTCGAATCGATTGCTGGCACAGTCATCGCATTGATTTGGGCTACCTTGCGCAGATGCTGTCGCGCACGCCACACCTCGTCGAGCTTCGCCTTCAGGGTGTTTTGTTTGGCGATTCCGTGCTGGCTGAGGGGCCGACTGCCTCGAATGACAACTTGCCGCTCTTGACGATTCGCCATGTTTTGTTTCGGAGCGTCCGCTTTACAAAAGCGGGTTTTGATGCTATCTTGAGCTGGCTCGATCGCGTCACGACCCTCGACCACATCGACTGGAGGTTTTCCACCTTTCTCAGCGACAATGTGGACTGCGCAGTTCGAGCAATCCAGTGCTGCGTCAAGGCCGGTGCGCGCTTCATCAGCTTGAATGGCTGCGGGTTTCAGCTGCAGAGCACGGTAGCGTTGGCCAAGGGGTTTCGTTATATTCGATCTCGTCACAGCATCGAATTTGACCTTGGGAGCAATCGGATGTATCTTGGTGGGACGCGGGCGCTTCTCAAGGCGCTTGGGGCGTGCACGAATGTCTCGATGCGACTCCACTCAGATACGATTCCGCTCATAAAGGACTCTGACGCGCAGCTAACGAAAGCGCGAGCATCTGGCGTCACCGTCGAGTGGACGGGCAAGATCCTCTGGCTTCGCAGTCCCGTCGGTGATCTCGATGCGACGCCAGCCAAGTAAACAGTTAACATCCATATGCACTTGACTTGCTCTTTTTGCCAAAACTATATATCGAAACGTAGGAGTTTGTTTCGAACCAAAGACGAGAACGCGCAATGAGCTATTGCCTACGCCAAGGTACGGCTGCGAATGTAGATCTCGCGATCCGATATGTCGACTGTGACACCGGCGGCTCTCGCTTTTTTACGTGCGGCGTACTGCATTCAATAGACTCTTGCCATTCGATTGGCAGTTTGACCGTCACATTGGTGCACGTTGCGATCGCCGTGAGCAGTGCACGGACACCACCAAGCCGAAACGTGTTGTTTGAGAGGCCGATCTGGACGCCAACACGAAATGGGTCTTGTGCAAGGTCTTGGCCAGCGCAGAGACGCCGCCGGTGTCGATGTCGCAGCCTTTGAACCGTCCGTTGGCGACACCCGCGAGAATGCAGGCGCGAAGGACTTGCGCAGCGCTCCCTTTGTGTTTGCCAAAGTACGCGCAGCTGTCCCACGCGACAAGCTCGAGCTGCTTCGACCGCGTAGCAAAGTCGACCAACGCGCCCACACTCGCATCACACAGGTCGACGGCTTCGACGTGTAAGGTGCGCAGCATCGAGCGTGACATCATAGGCCGAGGCGCGAAGACGTCCTCGAGGTCGACATACCCGATGTGTAGATTCTCAAGCGCGGTCAAATAAGGTAGCATCGCTACTGCGCAATCGCTGAGATCGATATGGTTCACACTCCAGATCGCGAGAGACTTCATGTTGGGCAATGCAAGCAGTCTGATGACGTGGGGGGCCGCGTGGGTCGCGCGGTAGAATTTCTGCTTACAACTCCCAAGGTCGCCGGTTCGATCCCGAGCACCGACAAGAAGTTCATATATCGACTCTGAGGATCATTAGTCAGTATAACGAATCCAATATAATATGATGATGATGAAGCAGTCTGATGACGTGTGGGGTTTCCTCGCTCGCATACGACTCTATATCGAGCTTCGTGATCGAAGTTAATGCAGCACCGTTGGTGACAAGACCGCAAAGGATGGCGTCCGACCGAAACAAGCGGAGACGCGACAGTGTTGACGACGACAATAACGCCACCATTTCGCTGCAAACAAGTTCCAGTTGAGTGCGTCAAGACGCAGCTCGGCCCTACGTCGCAACCAATGGTGACACCAGCGCGCAGCTCATCGAGACGCTGTTCAGGAC